TTCTGATGCTGCAGTAAAATGAAGACCAGAACTGGAGCCATTCCTGAAACCCCAGACCAAAAAAAGTGCATTATGTGTTCATAACAACTCCATTGAGTGACTGACTTGAACCTTGCACCTCAAATTGGACTTTTATGGTAGTGATGATTTATTGAGTTGCCTCTGTGGCACCTGTGTTCTCCAAGGCCAGCAGAAGTGTTGATGCAGCACTGCTTTGGGGCAGCAGAGCACGTGTGGCAAACAGGTTAGTCAGGTCGCTGCTGATTCAGGTAATTTGAAAATGTGGTACTCTCTTATTCTAGCCTGTTGAGCTGCTGGGAACGCCAGTCCAGATATTAAGTTATTTATTAGATGCTACAGGTCAACTTCTGCCTCCGAGCTTTCCTGCTTCCTATGACGTATCCTGTTTGTCTTGGGCAGGATTCCTGCCCGGCTCCTCTGCCCTGTCTGCTGGTTTATGAGGGGAAGGTCCTGAAACTGCAGTCTGTTTAGGGCTCTTTTGAGCAGCTGTCAAGGATAGCCTCTCCTTTCTCAAGGGCACGTAACACATAAAGATAAGTTGCGATGTGTAAGTTATTCCATCAAGAACAGTTGTGCTCCTCTTTTGTGTGTGTGTGTTCTAGAGTGCTACAATAAACAGAATGAAGTTTTTGGTTGTTTTTTTTTTTTTTTCCCCTGAGAGAGAGGCTACCTCAGACAACCTTGTTTTTACTGTGGAGCAGTGGACAGGTAGGAGCTCACTTGCATGTCTGTAGCAGGTAGCCTGCAGTGTGAACAAGTCAGACAACCTACTGGGGGGCTTGAATGTTGTACAGGCCTGCTCAAGGCATGACAGTTCTATTCTTTTTTTATTTTCTGGGGGAGAGATTTTTAATATTTTTCCTGTAGGTGTTGAGCCTGGCAATCTGGGTACATTCCTTTCATGCAAGTGAGTTGTTTAGTAGGTAAAATGGTATTGCTATGAATGGTACTTGCTTGAAGACGGTGGGAGTAGAGAAGAAAAACATTTAAGTAAGAACCACAAAACTACTTTGGAGTCTCTGAACAACGTATGTACTTGTTTTCCTAACAAAGGATAACAGTGGACACTCCTGTGTGATGTGGGCATCTGCATTAACCGTTAAAGTGTTGGCCATTGCGACTGACTCTAGCTGCAAGAGAAAAGGGAAGTCAGCTGGGAAACTTCCCATCTACCGAGAAGAGAAATAGGCTGACCAGAAAACAAATAGCTGCTTTAGGGCAGGAGCAGTTTGATTCTGGCATATTTAAAGACCCGTTTTATTAGAAAAGGACTGTGGAGAAAGTTTTCCTTTAAAACAATCATACAAATTTCTCCTAAAAATCCCACCCTAAATGTGCTTCACATTATCTAATAGCTCTTCAGGGAATTGCTTGAGACTTTTTTTTTTTTTTCTGAAAGGACAGGCTGCCTGTTGGAGAGACATATGCATTGTTTCACCAAAGCTGTGGCCCTCTATCTTCAGACAAGAGGGAAGCACATTGTTTTGTGTCTTTGATATGCTCCAGCCAGAAAACAGCCTCAGGGAAAAAAATTCACAGTTCTTGGCAGCAGTGCTGTGTGTTGGTTGGTTTTGTGGTTTTTTCTTTTTTTTTTTTTTTTTTTTCCAGTGCCACAATATACGCTGTTCTAATAACTTGAGATTAAACTTGCATGGGGTGTCTCAAAAGTCCTTCTTAAGACTTGAGGTCATAGCTTGCTGAAAGTTCAGAGGGATAAATCTCATTTTTGTAATGAAAAAAAGTTCCAGGGTTATTTTAGAATTAGGTCTAATAAGAAACTAGTACAAGAAGCTACTTTAGTACAGTAATTTAGTGACAGTGCAGCAAATTTGTAGCGGCTGCTGAAAACTTTCCACCTTCCTGCTCAATCAAGTAAACTGAACCCTGCAAAATTCAAATGTTGATTACAAAGGTTCAGGTCTCTGTAGACAGATTATTTTAAACACATGGTCTGGCTGTACCTTCTGGTGGAAAATGCTCAAGAAACTTCATGAATTGTTTACTTTGGTTAGAATCAGTCCATAGTAGTTTGGGAAGTATCCTAATTGAGAAATGTCACAATTTAGTCAAGGGCAGCTGCATCTTCTACTCACACACTTTTCAGAGCGTTTGAGTGTGCTTGTAATAATCATACTATGAGCTGGGTCTGCATCAAATAGACGTGGTTTTAACAAATATTTTTGTGATTTATGCATATTACTGTACGGAACAGTTTTGCAAGGTCATTGATTAACCCACAGCGAAGATGTTCAGAAGTGAACTAAAGTTCAAGTCTAACATTTTTCAGTAACAGAGCAGGGCAATAGAAGAGGGAAAATATCGGTTATTAATATTTCTTTAGCTTGCCCATTATCCTGTTTTTCTGGATAGTAGTTATTCTTCTTTTCACTGTGTCTCTTCTTCCTCTTTCCTTAAAATATTTATGGTTTGGTATAAACATTGTAATGTAGCTGCATTTGAAAACTTAGCTGAATGGGGTAAAAGACACAGTGCTAAGAAAGTGTTACTCAAAAGTGCTTAAACCTAAGAATAGTACATGAAACTTGTATCTGATGGCATCATATGATCTGAAGTGTTTATAATTTTGTGTTGGATTAAACTAATAGACTATTTAACTTCTGCATTTGCGGGTGGGGATAAATGTGAATTCTATGGAAGAATTTAAAATACATCTGTGGTTTGAAGCTTATGAGCACGATAAATTTAGCACACTACTGTAATCAGTCCATTTCGTGCCATGTCTCTGTAGTCTCTCATTATTGGCTATAACTCCAGCAGAATGAATATCTGTATTCTCATGTGAGTTTGTGGTGGTGGGGAACCCTTATTATCTTTTTTGATTCTGAACTACTCTTGAAAAACAGCCAGCTTGTACACATAACGTGATTGTGAATTTCTCCTTAAGGCTGAGGTTGTGGTTTGCTCTAAGCTTTTTTTAAAAATACATCTGCCTTAATAAGAAGTGAACGTTCTTACCTCAGCACTGTTGCTGCCTTCAGTAATGCAGAAAGTAAGGCAGAGGGGGCAGTGTGCGCATTTTCAACCTTAACTATGGTTTTTGTTATGGTCTGTCCGAGAATGAGTAATGTTTTTATTTATTTTATTTTAAAATAATATGCTACAGGGATGCTAAACAGGAAACCACCTAAATACTAGGATATGTTGAGTGTTTGTGTTAATCACATATGAATTAATAGGGAAATGGGAGCTTCAAAGCACTTCTGCAAATGAAGTGGAAGGGGGTATGCCTGAAGCTGATGCTCGTAAGACTTCTAAGGCTGGTAGACCTTCTGGGTAGAAAAAAAAAATCCAGTGATTTTTTTGTGCCTATGTTACCTTTACCAGTGGGTGGGAAAGAGGAATGGAGTCAGACCCTGTTTTTTACTCTTCTGTAATAATCTTGAGTACTAAAGCTGTGTGTTCTCACCTTTAGACTAAACTGGTTGCTTTGACCTTCTCTTCCTTTGCTGTGCCCATTCAGTGTAGGAAGTAGAAGAACCTTATGTCCAGCACTCTCTAAACCCGTTCAGTGGTTTTGGGTAGGTATAGGTAAATGATACCTCCCAAGGCTTAAATAGGAGATAGGAGCATCCTACCTCTGTGGCAGAGGCAGGGGACAGTGTGCAGCTCTTCAGTGCTCCTACCTGTCCCACCTGTCCGGTGTCTGCCAGCAGGTCTCTTTATTATCCCCTTCCTTCTGCTTCAAGCACTTCAATCCTGCTTGCCTAAATGAGTGCCTGTTTCCTGACATGCTTTGGTAGAATTGGGTGTGATTGAGGGTTCAGGAGTAGAATGGCAGGGTATGCTTTGCCTCAAAACCTTCTACCTCTGATGTTAGTGATCCTCTTCATACTTTGATGCAAATGGACGGTGCTGGGAACAGCACTTCCTGGCATCCCAGCAACCAACTGCTTCCAAAATCCTTCTGTTTTTTCCTATTGTGCTTAGAATGCTCCCAAAAAAATCCTGAAACCACGTGGGTGCGGGTATCAAAAGGCACATGGCAGACAGAAATACCCTAGAACCAGATGTCAGGTGTAGTTTTGCTTTTGTCACTTGATTGAATGGGAATTTTTTTCTTCAGTTAGATAGCATATGTATGAACAGCTTTCATAGTAAAAAGTAATCCTGTGATCATCTGTACCTCAGACAGGTGCAAATTAATCTAAAACTTGTGGAATAACCTTGATTCTCCAGCTTAAGTTTATCTTGTTTCTTCACAGCATTGTGACTTCACTTTGGGGTTGTTTTTTTTTAGCTTTAGCAGCCAGCTGGTGTCTCAAGTGTGTGCATGTGAGGTCAGGATCTATCAAGATTTGTGGGGTGCGGTGATAGAGCAATACAGGGAATGAGTAGCCAGGTTAACGCTCCTTAGCAGTTGCTTTTTGGGGTTTGGTGTTCCCCCCCCACCACCCACCCCTCCCTCCCCACTAAGATTGCTTGAAAGAGGAAGGCCTGTTTAGTGGCTTGAGAAGTAGACTTGTGAGACTCTAAAGAAAAATAAAATATATTTCTGTTCCTTGTCTTGTTCTGGGGAATTTGGGTCATTTAATACTCGAGAATTGCTGCGTCCCGTGAGGTACTCGTAAACGTTAAAGTTGACTTATAAAAGGCATTACTACTTAGTTTTACAAATATTTAATTGTGTATTATGGATTGCATAAATACAGCAGGAAATATAAGGGGGGAAAAAAATCTATGGTGTTCGGTCATTGTTTTACTAGACTTCAAATTTTTTCTCATTACTTCATGAAATCCTTCTCTAATTCAATCTTTGTCTTTTGTCTTTGCTGCCTTGCAGGGTTGGTACAGTAGGCCTCACTAAACTTAGCTGCAACTAAGAATTTCTCCTACATCAACTGAGTTAAGGCTGATGCTCTTGTGGAATGTGGATTAAAAGTGCGTTCTAAGTTCCAAATTTCCATTTGAGAAGCGGAGAAAGTAAATGTACCACAACCAGCAGCATCAGGACAGCAAACCAAGGGACAAAGAATTTGATCCACAGTGTTGATATATGTTAACTGGTTCACGTGTTGCTTAAAAGACGTTTGCTGGGGGGCGAGAAGTGGACGTCAGCTGTGCGAAGTCATTTTGTTTACAAAAATGAGGGCTTCTTTGGAAACAGCAGACATTGCCATTGTGGCACTGTACTTCGTGCTTGTAATGTGCATAGGTTTTTTTGCCATGTGGAAATACAATCGGAGCACCGTAAGTGGCTACTTTTTGGCAGGGCGTTCTATGACCTGGGTAGCTATCGGTGCCTCTTTATTTGTGAGCAATATTGGAAGTGAACATTTCATTGGGCTCGCAGGATCTGGAGCGGCGAGTGGATTTGCAGTAGGCGCGTGGGAATTCAACGCCTTAATGCTTTTGCAGCTTTTAGGATGGGTCTTCGTCCCAGTCTACATCCGGTCGGGAGTATACACCATGCCTGAATACTTGTCGAAGCGTTTTGGAGGGCATAGAATTCAAATCTATTTTGCAGCATTGTCTCTAATTCTTTATATCTTCACCAAACTCTCAGTTGACTTGTATTCAGGGGCACTTTTTATTCAAGAATCGCTAGGTTGGAACCTCTATTTGTCAGTTATCCTCCTTATTGGAATGACTGCACTGTTGACTGTGACTGGAGGTCTTGTGGCTGTCATCTACACAGACACCCTTCAAGCTCTGCTTATGATTATTGGTGCCCTCACACTTATGATCATAAGTATTATGGAGGTTGGTGGGTTTGAAGAAGTTAAAAGAAGGTACATGTTAGCGTCACCAAATATTACATCTATCTTGTTAACCTACAACATTTCCAATACCGATTCCTGCAATGTCGACCCAAAGCCCGATGCTCTTAAAATGTTGCGCGAGCCAACAGATGAAGATATTCCCTGGCCTGGATTTCTGTTGGGACAGACCCCAGCTTCTGTCTGGTACTGGTGTGCCGATCAAGTCATAGTTCAGAGAGTTTTAGCTGCAAAAAACATTGCTCATGCCAAAGGATCCACTCTGATGGCAGGCTTCTTAAAGTTGCTGCCGATGTTTATTATAGTTGTCCCAGGGATGATTTCACGAATACTGTTTGCAGATGATATCGCCTGCATTAATCCAGAACACTGTTTTCAAGTCTGCGGGAGCAGAGCTGGGTGCTCTAACATCGCCTACCCACGTTTGGTGATGAAACTCGTGCCGGTTGGTCTGCGGGGACTGATGATGGCTGTGATGATCGCTGCACTGATGAGTGACTTGGACTCGATATTCAACAGTGCCAGCACCATATTCACACTTGATGTCTACAAACTCATTCGGAAGAGTGCGACATCTAGAGAACTGATGATTGTAGGAAGAGTCTTTGTTGCGTTCATGGTAGTTATAAGCATTGCCTGGGTCCCGATAATTGTAGAAATGCAAGGTGGTCAGATGTACCTTTATATTCAAGAGGTAGCGGACTATTTGACCCCACCGGTGGCTGCTCTGTTTCTTATGGGGATCTTTTGGAAGCGTTGCAATGAGCAGGGGGCTTTCTATGGCGGAATGGCCGGGTTTGTTCTTGGAGCGATACGGTTGATACTGGCGTTTATCTATCGTGCTCCAGAGTGTAACCAGCCAGATACTAGGCCAAGCTTTATCAAAAACATCCATTACATGTACGTTGCGACAGCTCTGTTCTGGATCACTGGGATTGTGACCTTTGTAGTAAGCCTCCTCACGCCTCCGCCTACGAAGGAGCAAGTTCGGACGACCACTTTCTGGGCCGTGAAAAACAGGAACGTAAAAGAGACCGCCACAAAGGGGGAGCTGTACAAAGTGCAAGAAAAGAGCATCCTCAAGTGCAATGAAAATGCGAACCATATCATTCCAAATGGCAAGTCAGAAGAAAATATTAAAAATATTAAGCCAGAGGATATCAATCTTCTGGTTACTTGCAGAGATGACAGCAACCCAGTGATTTCTCTGAGTCACTCTGAAGTCGAGACACCAGTTGATTGTTATTCGAACGGACAAGCGGCTTTGATGGGGGAGAAAAAGCACGAGGAAGAGACTGATGATAGAGAGAGACATTTGAAATTCATAGACTGGTTCTGTGGCTTTAAAAGTAAAAACATGAACAAGAGAGCTGTTCGGGAGATCGAGGAGGAGACTGTTTGTTTACAAATGCTGGAAGAGACTCCAAAAGTTAAACTATTACTAAATACTGGACTGGTCTGTGTCTGTTCGCTTGGAATATTCATGTTTGTCTATTTCTCTTTGTGAGTGAATAGTGAACTTTTAAGGGTATGGCTAAACATACAGAAGTTGATACAGGTCTCTGGAGATTTTGTTTGTTGTTGTTTTTTGTGTTTTTGTTTCTTTTCAAATAACATAACCACAACCCAGGCATTGTTTACGCTATAATTGTAAGATCAACTCAACTTTAGCCTATTTAGAGCCCATTTGAGACATGTTGTCCTATCTCTGCTGAAGGCCGAATGTGTCATGTGGAGTCTTTTTCTTCTTTTTTCCCTTTTTATTTTTTCCGTTTGCAGTACTAACCTTTTGTTTTTCCATGTATACATGTATAAATATACCAAAGGCAGGCAGGTGGCTGTGTTTGAAGTCAGGCAGTTACAGAGCTCAGTCAGCATTAAGGTGAAGATAACAAGTAATCATTTACCGATGTGTAAAATCTAAATGATTAAAGCTGTGTTGAAAGATTTTTTTTTTTAAATGTAAGGCTGCGATGCATATCGCTGTGTAGTTGTTCTTTGTACCATAGCTGTATTACCTTGGCCAACTTAGCATTTTTAAATTTTTCTCACTGCTTCTAGGCATTTTTTTTCAGTTTCTCATTTCTCTTATGGCAACAACAGGAAGATATTTTGTCTCATCTTGTAGCACTTGAAACATGATAGCTGTTAGTAGCTTTCTGTCTTTTTTTTCTCTTTGTAAGAAAATTTTTGTCTTTTGATTTTATCCATTGTAAATTCCATTATTGAGAAGTTGCTGCATTTAAAAAAAGAAAAGGAAAAAAAAAAAAACCCTGGAGATGACAAGCTGGCAATGGAGGAGAGAGGGAAAAGGAAAAAAAGAAATACTCTTATTTGGGTTTTGTAGTATATTGAAATAGAAGAGTATATATTAAGCCTCTTCAGTCTCCAGACCTTTAGTACATAATTAGGCTTAGCCTCTTTTTAGAGAAAAATCTGTACACAGGTTCTACCACATGGGAAAAAGAAGTGTGAGACTTTGCATGTCTTCAGTGTGGTAAGCATACTGAAAAATGACTCTTTTTTCCTTGCTGTGTATGTCTAGAAGGAAATACTCTGCAGCCCTACTGTTGCTGCATACAAAGTCTATAAGGGGAGAAAAAAAAGTGGGAAGATGAGAGGAAGGGGAAGTGGGGGGGGAAAGAGGTGGAAGTGCTCCTTATTTTCCAGAGTCCTTTTGCCTCATGTCTTCTCCCGTCTCCCATTTCACCCTGTCAAACCTTCTTTTTTAAGGAATGACTCCTGAGGGATTCTGTGTCAGGCGATAAGGAGCGTGCGCGGTTGTAATCTGTGTCGGCAATTGAGGTCTGCCTTTAGGATTCTTAAAAAAAAAAAATAAAAAAATTGAAGCTTTTCCCAGGCGATCACAGCTGATCAGTAGGTCTCGAGATGCTGAGTTTCCTTTCTCCTGAAGGATGGATGCCCGAGGCAGGGATGAACAGTTTCTAGGGGTGGAGGATGTGTGTGCAGCCGGTTGGTGGAACGCAGCAGACTTGAAAGGTTGCAGGGCTTGGTCCGCTTCCCCCTTGGTAAAGCAGGAGAACGTGTTGCTATCCTCGGTGCTCTCACCCTTACGCTAAACCAAGTCAGGGGCTGGTTTTGGACACAGAGGGCAGCCGACAGTGTGTGGCTGCACTCACAGTATTAAACTCCCTTACCCTCCAGGACAGAGTGGTCATATCCAGGCTTCCCGTGAAAATAATCCCTCCAGTTGTCTTTGCTCCCGAGCTTGTCTGAGGACTTGTTGGGGAGAGCACAAGCTGGCTAGGCCAAAAACGGTCTGAGGGACCATGCTGACGGTTCAACAGCATCAATTCAAGGGTCCAGCTGTGTTTCCTTGGCATGTAAACAACAAGCAATCCTTAGGGGTGAAACAGTTTTGTAGAGATGAAATTTGGGTTAATCCTGCCTTTGACTGCTAGAGAAGGTTTGCTTTCCAGTACAGTGGTGCTGTAAGCTGCAGGCCGTCCAAATAGCTTTTAGTGGTATGATGTATAATACATATTTTCAGATAAAATTATCTTCAATTTTTGTGGGGTTTTTGTTTGTCTTGGTGTTGATTTAAATCAATTGAATCCCATTCATTCAGTGACTTTAAACAGAGGCTGAGGTGCCCCACCTTTCTCCACTTTGTTTAGTTGTTGCCACTGGAAAGTAGACTACTCTTAACTGGAAGTACAGTAGTAAGTGTAGGAGTGGTGTTGCAATATATGTAGAAGAGGAGAGTTACCATACCTGAGTCTTGATGTTAATACCAATGTGATGACACATTTTCTTATGGTTCGTGTGGCTGGCTTCATTCAGAAAAATATTTTGAATCTCTTTTAATGGTAAAATTGTACGTGAAATATGTTAATGGCATCTCAAGTTACTTCATTAGTGGGCTGAGTTGGGAAGGACAGTACTATATGAAAGATGTAAAACATAGTTAACTGTTTCTATGCAGGATAAAGTAATCTAGGGCAAAATTTGATCTTAGTGGGATGAAAAATAACTTGTGGAGGGCAAAGATGAGTCTCGCTCCAACAATACCTTCTTGAAAAGGCTGGAATCTGGCTAATATGCTAAAGAGACTCGTGTACCAGGCACTGTCCCTTAGTAACTTGGCACGTCTTTTTATTAGTGACTGGTACTTGGATTTTCCAAACCGGTCCTCTTTGCTGTCGGTATTAACAAATGCATTGCCACCTAACCTGTGAAGCCAGGTTAGCTCAGGGACCCTTTTGCTTGGCTGCCATTGCTTCATCTGTGCTTGCTTTTTTTCCCAGGGTGCCTTACGTGGTTATAAAGCTGAAGGCATGGCTTTTATTGCCGCCTGAAGAGTGGTTTGCTTATAATGGCTCTTCCCAGCTTGTTTTTCGTCCTCTCTTTCCCGCCCAAGTCACTTGCTATTTAAAGAGAACACTGTTTAATGAGTTAATACACAGGATGCCTGTATCCTGTTCAGTGTAACTGCAGTCAGATCCACGGTGAAATTATCCGTCGACTGCAGTAGCGAGTCACAATCCTTCACAAATGTAAGGTGCAGCCTTTGGCTGTTGAATCTGAGATACTCCATCTCCCAGTTAATGTATTCTCACTTTTGCTAAACTAACAAGTTGCCACATTAATCACAGTGGTAATTGGCAGTCAGTCAGGATCTTAATAAAGTAATACTTTGCATCCCCCTCCATTTTTAGACCTGTTATTGTAAAGAAGCTTTTAAGCAAATTATTTCTCCAGTACTTTTTCTCTTCAGTCATTGAAAAATGTGTTTCTATGCTACTCTCTGCCTAATGCCGGCCTCTTCAGGTGTATTCTGTTGTCATGTCTTAGAGGTCATAGAACTTGCTAATGTCCTTTGCTACAAATAACCACTTAATAAAAGGCCTGTATCAGGAAAAAAAGAAATTATAAGGCTTCAAGCAAACTGTCTGTTGGTGAGCAAGTACCTTGCCTTGTGTTATGGACCTTAGTGTAGGAAGCTGCTTGAGGATTTTTTTAATAGCGTAAACATGCCTTTGCTAATCTGATGATGATGATCTACATGGAAGAGCTGTTAACCCAGGTTAATACATTCTGGTTTAAACACTAACTTTTTGGTCCAGTTGAAATACAAAGCGTCTCCCATAATGGACAATCAGTTCCATCTATTTTAATGCCTGGCTGCCACCTCCTCGTTGGCACTGGCTAGTCATGCAGGGGTAGAGCCAGGAGGACACGTGCTTCTGTCTTGCAGTGATTGGTTTATTTATTGCCTCGAGCTTAGAACGACAGTCTTGAAAAACTGTTTTTGGAATGACACCTTTTTTTGTTGTTGTTTCCCTTAACTTATTTTTCTGTTAAGATATTTGAATTTTCTCCCAGAAGTTTGTTAGAAGCTTTTTATTTAAAACAGGAAAAAAAAAAAAAAAAAAAGAGGAGGCTTCTTGAGAGCTTAATTGTACATTCTGGGAGGCTGTTCTTATTTAATTTTTTTAAAAAATGAATGATTTGATGTTATTCTCTGCCAAAGTTTAGGGGTCTTCTGTTAGGGTTTTTTTGTATTTTTTCCTGTTAGCTTTTATTAATACCTGAAAGGAAACGGTGAGAGATCGTAAGAAATTAACATGGCCTTCAGTATACCACTTCTGTATTTTCTACTTCTCTACTTCTGTGTTCCCCTTTCCACCCTAGTCCCAGAAGGGCCAGCATGAGACTTCTGATGCGAGTCATGAGAGTACTGTAACTGCGTAGTGAAAAGGATTTCCCACAAGGTTACGGTGAAGCAGGCAGAGCCATCAAAGGATCTCTGCGCGAATACTTAAAGCAGAAGATGCTTATGACTTTAAAACGTACAGCTTTATTTTTTTTATATATCTATTTTTTTAAATCCTAAGATAAAGGAGGTGTTGGGACATGCTCCCTTTCAGAGAACAGGATACATGGAAGAAGTTGGAGTTGCTAAGCTCTAGCTTTCTTGAGGAAATCTTTGGATTTAGCATGTACAGCAAAGCAAAAATACTCATCTGTTAATTTGGTATTCTGTATGTTCTGTGCCCTTAAATGTAATTGTTTTGAAAATAAAACTAACCTTGTTATGTGATGTTAAAAAGCAGACTTGTGTGCAATGTTTTAAATTTTTTTTAAGAAAATGTTTGTATATAATTAAATGGTTTAATGTGCTTTAATTGGCCTAAGGTAAAGAGTAGTCCTAGAATGTAAACATATATAATTAGGATTTCTGATTTCACTGTGAGATCTCTGAACTCTCTTGTTTTGCAAAAGTGGTTTGTTTTGTTTACAAAACACTTTCTATTATTTCTTTTATGGTGTTGGTTTAAAGCATTTGCTTCACTTCTGTTCTAATATTGAATTCATGGTATAGTGACATCTGGTGACACTTAGCATTATCAGTTTCACTGTGTAAAGTCAGACACTTTGAGCAAAAATGGTAATGATATGACAATTCTCTGTGTCTATGAATACACGTTTTTAAATGAGGTGGTTATAAAAATAGTTGCTGTGCAAAATGTTAGTAGTCTTCTTCAAGAAGAAAGCAAATTTTCTAATATCACTAAAGCAGTCTCTTCATTCATCTTATTTTTAAAGCACAGTGTCAAAGTGATGCTGCTTTACCTTGTATCTCTGATATAATGTTTTTTTAGATATCTGTGAAGTATTTTTGGTTTTTGTTGCTATTGTATTTTTCTGCAGATTTTATATAAAATACCAGTTAATGAACTGCCTTTTTGTTTTTTTTTTAACTATTCAACTAAAATACATTTCAGACCAAAACCAAATGATATCATATAGCATTTGAAACCTGCCTTTATTCTTGTCCCTTGTTTTTTTGAAATAAGCCAAATGGGCATGTAGATAAGATCACTATAATGGATCCAGGTCTCTTTTGGTAAAGTGTTATTTTGAGGTCTGTTAAGATCTTATAAGACAATATCCTGAAAAAAAAAAAATTATTGTAGTAGG